TTAGCTATAATTATAGCTATAATCTATTGCCTTTCTCTTTATTCTAATTAGCTAGAGACTCTAGTCGTTACTATTATTTATTTCTATATTCTCTATATTCTTATTTCTATCTTTACTACTACTTTTATTAAACTCTTCCTCTATATTTTATTATATTTCTATAAAGTTATTCTCGTCTATAGAATTAGTAATAGAACGTATATAGTTAGAATTATAGTATATACTAGAGTATAGGCTATTCTAAGTAGAAGTAATAGTACTAGTACTTAGTATAAATATTAGTATTAGACTATATTCTAGAGCGTCTTTATCTATAATATTATTTATAGTATATCTATTCTCGAGTAGTATCTAGTTAGCTATAGTATATTCGTCCTTATCTAGTATCTAATTAACTCTAGCTTTAAGATCCTTTTACTATTATTATTAAGTCTAGCTACTAGTAATAAAGTCTATTTTATTTAGTATATCGAAAGCGATTTATTATTAAACTTAAGTAAGTAACTAACTATAGCCTATAGCTAAATTTTAATTAAGAAACTCTCTAAGTATTATTTTATCGAGTAAACTATATAGAAGCTATATTAGGTTAGACTAGAACTATAATAGTCTATTAGAACTAAGATTATTTAAGCCTAGATACTACTATAGTATAGAAGCTATAAACTAGCTATTACTATATCGTTGCTTAATATTAGCTTATCGTCTAAGTATAATAGAGTTTTAATAGCCTATAAATAGCGAGAAATCGAAGAGCTTATTAAATATTAAACTATCTAGTATTCTAATATATAAGATAGCTATATAATAAAAGCTAAGAGAGAATTTCTTCTTAGTAATATTTACTATAGCCTTATTATATATTAAGTCTTAAGCTTTATAAATAGTTATTATAAAGGCTAGATAGATTAGAAACTACTAATACTAGTATTTATTACTACTATAGTAGTAGAAGTACTTTATAGTAAAGATTAGTACTATATAGTACTAGTTATTATTATACTTATCTAAGTATAGTCTAATATAGTCTACGACTAGTACTTTTAAGATTAGGTAATAGAGTAGTATATTATATAGATTAGTAGTACCTAGTAACTACTTAATATCGTATAAAATACCTACTATACTATTAACTAAACTAGCTTTAGTCTATATATTATTAAGTAGTATAATCCTAGCGCTAATAGAGACTTAGATTTTATACTTAAGTTAGCTATATTTATTAATACTCGTACGCTTATCTATATCCTTATCGTTAGATTTAGTAGTAAGAGTAATAATAGAATTATTTAATACGTAGAGGCGAGACTTATTCTAATTATTAACTTACTTATTCTTAAAGTATAGATATATTATATCTTCGAAGAAGTAATAAGTATTAGTATTAAGAGCTCTAGCTATATAACTAGAAAGGAGTTACTAGTATTATAGTAATACGTTATTATTATAGAAACCTTCTAGAGCTTCGCGAAATAGCTTCTATATATTATCTACTTATTACTATAGTATCTTTAACTCGAGAGATTAGTTAAAAGCTTAATAGCTTATATAGCTAGCGATTTTAATAGTATAGTCGATATCTATAAGTTAGTTAGTTAGTTCTTATACGCCGGTCTACCTCTTTTAACTAGAGTAA